AGAGAGTGTGTGTGTGAGAGAGTCAGAGAGTGTGTGTGTGAGAGAGAGTGAAAGACTGAGAGAGGGTGAGAGCGCATGTGAACGAGAGAGAGCGAGTGTGCATGATAGACAGCAACAGAGCGTGACAGAGCGAGAGTGTGACAGAGAGCGAGAGTGTGACAGAGAGTGAGAGTGTGACAGAGAGAGTGTGTGAGAGTGAGAGTGTGACAGAGAGCGAGAGCGAGAGCGTGACAGAGAGAAAGCGTGTGTGAGAGAGAGTGTGTGTGAGACAGTGAGTGTGTGTGAGACAGAGTGTGTGTGAGACAGTGAGTGTGTGTGAGAGAGAGTGAGTGAGTGTGAGAGAGCGAGTGTGACAGAGAGGGTGTGAGAGAGACAGAGTGTTACAGAGAGAATGACAGAGAGAGTGTGTGATAGAGAAAGTGTGTGTGTGAGAGAGTGTGTGTGAGAGAGAGTGTGCGTGAGAGAGAGTGTGTGTGAGAGACAGTGTGTGTGAGACAGTGAGTGTGTGTGAGAGAGAGTGAGTGAGTGTGACGGAGAGAGAGTGTGACAGAGAGGGTGTGAGAGAGACAGAGTGTGACAGAGAGAATGACAGAGTGTGTGATAGAGAAAGAGTGTGTGAGAGAGAGACAGTGTGTGAGAGAGAGTGTGAGAGAGAGTGTGTGAGAGAGAGAGACAGTGTGAGAGAGAGAGAGTGTGAGAGAGAGTGTGTGAGAGAGAGAGAGAAATACTGATCAGTCTTGAGGTTATGAGGATGGTTTGGAGAAAGTGGGGAGGCTCCTCCTCAGCGGAGTGGAAGTTGAGAGGAAATCTGATTGAGATATTCAAAACAGAAGAGGTCACAGACACAACAGGGAAAACTGTTTTTATGGATGGAAGGGTTATGGATCAGAGGACATAGATTTGAGGGTGATTCGCAAAAGAACCAAAGCCAACAAAGGGATAAATTTTATTTTACTCAACATGAGATTAAGATCTGAATGTATTACCTGAGAGTACGGTGAAGCAGATTTATGCATAGCTATCAAAAAGGGAACTGAACAATCACAATCTCGCTCTCTCTGACATGCACTCTCTCGTGCACAATCTCACTTACAAACACACTCACAATCACTCTCTCTCTCATTGGCACTAATTGGTAATTTAAAGAACCTTTGCAATTTTTTAATTTCTGTAAAAGGTATTATATCTATATTTAACTGACATTTGTGGCTGAATGCAGAGTTGTACTTCTTATACTGACTAGACACAACTTGCAGGCTACAGGGAGAAGGCAGAAGAGTGGAACTTGATGGGCTACCCTTGAAGAGGAGAGCTAACAGGGCTGAATGGTCTACTTTTGTGCTGTAATTGTTCTCCAATCCTACCGTGTTATGTCAGCATTCAAAATTAGTGGGCTAAAATATTCCAAGTGACAAAAGGGAGAGCAAAAATGCAACTTCAAATAAGGTCAATATTAATCTCTATACAAAATCCAACATTTAAAAAAGTTACCACAAACTTATGGCTTAGATCTGAGCTTGATTTACTGTGTAAAGGATCGAAAACGTTAGCTGAAGTCATCCGGATGGGTTTGTTAATCTAAGTGGATGCAGTTATTATTGAAGGGTTACTATTCTATTTTGAGTAGTCAGATTTAAGTGGATAATTGCTTCCACAAATCTGCATAAAATCAAACACAAGACAATAATGAGGGGTGAGGCTGCATTTTGTAATCATGTCTGGCACAACATCAGCGGTGTCAAACAATAGAAAAAGCCTCAACTGGATTCAACCTTCTGTCAGGGTCTGACAGAATGCAGATATCCAACTCAATCTACAGCCACAGTTTTGTCTTAACTGTATAAAAAGAATTTGAATATTTGTTTTCTTTTCAGTGAGCAATTTAGCAATCAAACCATGAACTTAAAACATCAGAAATCTTTGCTAATGACAGGGAGAGAAAAAGCCAAATTTCCCACACTTGTGGCCTCAATAACCATCATAGAAGGCCCATAGTGTGGAAGCAGGCCATTCGGCCCACTGAGTCCACACTGACCCTCCGAAGAGCATCCCACCCAGACCCACCCCCTACCCTATCCCTGTAACCCCACATTTCCCATGGCTTATTCAGCCAGCCTGCGCATCCCCGAACATTATGGACTTCTTTGGGAGGAAGCCAGAGCACCCGGAGGAAACCCACACAGACACAGGGAGAATGTGCAAACTCCACACAGACAGATAACCGAGGGTAGAATCGAACCTGGGTCCCAGGTGCTATGAGGCAGCAGTGCTAACCACTGATACACCGTGCTACCCAAAAATATCAGAAGTGAAGTTTCGCCCTGTTCTAGGGATAATTTTACATTTTGGAAATGGCGAAAAATGGACGATACAGATTCAGATCGGCTTCAAATGCAATAGAAAATTGGATTAGGCAGAGAAATTGCTTGATTCCAGTTTTAAACAAATCCCACAGTTTAAAACTGCCACGCAACCCCATTTCACCAGTTCGTGAGGTTGACTTTTAAAAGTCCCATTTATTTAGAAGAACGGACAACACTGAACTTTGTTCATAGCTTTGATGTTTTATTGGTGCTTTCCCCATTCTCCGCAGGGACAGGGACGGTAGAAATGGTGATCGAGACGCCAGCAGTCCAACACCTCAGTATATCTGTCACATTCCCAGATGTTGCAAATGGAATTAAATTTTCAACAATTTGCTCAGATTGTTTTGTACTGTGACAAATCAAAGCAAGAGTACGTCAGGGTTACTGTCTCGAGTTGGACTTTATACCAGAACTTCCCAACCAACAAAATGGCCTTTTCCTCTCAATCGCCAATTTATAATAAGGACAAAGGCTCCTGTAGACACAAAGGAGATTGGGGCAAAGATTTGATGGAGGTTTCAAAATTATGAACGGTTTGGAAAAGGCAGACGGGGATAAATGGTTCTTAATGTTACGACACTGTGAGGCACAGGTTTGAAATGTTGAATGAATGAGTGAATGATTTATTGTCCCGTGTATTTTACAGTGACAGCACAATAAAACACACCGAAAGGCTTTCATTTGTTGCCACGATTCGGAACCATGTTCAGTTACTTAAGAATAAGAGTAATAAAGAAAGGTATAGCTTAAAGAGAGTCCATCAGTCCTGAGGCAGCTCATCACCATCAGCAACGCCTGCACCACCGCCCCCTCCTCCACCATCCCACTGCCGACACCGGACCCAACCAATATCAAAGTCACTAATCCTCAGGCACCATCCTTTGGGCCAGAGATGGAGAGGGAATGTGAGGAAGAAGCTGCTTTCATACTGACCTGGAAATCACTGACCAAAAGGAGGTTGGAAGCAGAACCAATGAAAGATTTCAAAAGGAAAGTGGCTGAGTGCTTAAGGTAAAATAAACGTACATGGACACAGCCAGCAAATAGGATTGACTGGATTGCTCCAGACATAACGGAGAACACGAAAGATAGGTACAGCTCATCTCAAATCTTTATTCGTATTCTTCAAGATAGTTTCCCAAAACACCTCAAATCGTGACCACTGTCACATTGTTAAGTTGTTTGAGGTTAAGGAGGTCATAGGTGATAGCTATTAATTGCCTGAACAGATACCAATATACAAGAAGTACCTGGTGGGATGAGGACACAAGACTGAGGAAGTCAATAAACTCTCTCCACCAAAAAAAAATTAAAGATATAAATGTCTTGATTTCAATTTCTCCCACTGGCCTGGAATCTATGAACAACTCAACCACATCTCCTCACTCTGCCTCTCAGCTGTTTGTCCCACTTACACATCTTGCTGTTTCTCTTCAATTAAAGCCACAGCCATATTCATCATTCAGCTTGAGAACTGCTCCACACACAGTTCTTCAGCTTTCTGCATTTGCTATCTCCTCACTACTTATCCGTGCCAAACATGTTCCTTCCAGCTAGTACTCTCCAACTAAGCCTGCTCCTGCCGACGACCTGGGGAATAGAAAGAGGAGAGCACATAGGTGGTACTTTCACATTCAGACAAGTCCTGGTGAACCTCTTTGTGCTTGTTGAATGTCCGAACACAACCAATTAGATTGAAAAGTCCGCATTACAGGGTCTTACCACAGCGATCCCGGATTACCAGATTCCGTCCTTCCCTCAATTGGATCGTCAAAAGGTACGAGGGCAAACTACACGCAGATGGCTCTCGACTTGACCCTTCATGGTGTTCGAAGGACTGTGATTAAAACATGCGCATCACAAATACATTACATTTTAAAACAACTAAGATCTGACGTTACAGATTAGAAACGATCCTACTTGCTTCACATTTTAATGAACCAAATAAAGACATAAAGCAACTTAACAATGAGACTTTAACATTGGTCTAGACTTGAGGTGTATTGGGAAGCTATCTTGAAGAAATAATGTTGAAAGGTTTGAGTTGAGCCGTAACTATCTTTTGTGTTCTCCATTATGTTTGGTCCAACCTAGTCGGTCCTGTTTGCTAGCCATTGGTCAGCACAGCTGCCTCACAGCGCTGCAGACCTGGATTCGAGTCCACCTTCAGGTGACTGTTTGTTTGCATATTTTCCCTGTGTCTGTGTGGGTTTCATCCGGGTGCTCTGGTTTCCTCTGACAGTCCAAGGATATGCAGGTTAGGTGGATTGGCAATAGGGAATTGCCCATAGTGTCCAGGGATCTGCAAGCTGGGTGGATTAGCCATGGAAAATGCAGGGCTTTGGCGGGGTGGTGGGTCTGGGTGGGATCTCTTTGGAGGGTCAGCACAGACTCAAATGGGTTGAGTGGTCTCTTTCTGCACTGTAGGCATTCTACAATTCAATTCCTGTTGCACTCACCTCCATAAGTATCAGAGACTGGCATGATGGTACTGCATGGCTGACTGGACAACATTTTGCCCTACGCTGACAGGCCAGGGCCAAATGTGGCCATTAAAGACCAGTCTGTTATATCCTCTTAACTTCGCAACAGTCAGAGGCACAGCCAACCTCCTGTGGCTTCTTTTATCAGAAAGGAGGAACCCAGAATAGGGGATGAGTGGTGAAACTGCTGATGGGACAGCCATTTGGGAAAGGTTGGAGTAGAACCATGTGCAAAGTCACCTTTCTATTTATTTTTCCTTTGGATGGGGGTGTTTGCTGGGTAGGTCAGAATATACAAGCGAATCACATAGATGTGGCTTAGGAGTCATATATAGGCTAGACCAGATAAGAATGGCAGATTCCCATACCTAAGTGACTTTATTGTACCAGATGGGCTTTTACGGAGTTTTTTTTTCCCCAGCTGAGCAAATCTCACCAGCTGGCGTGGCGGGTGAACACTAGCCTGGGGCTCTGGATGACTAGGCCTGTGACATTACCACTACACCACCAACTTGCTGGGAGGTCTACAGACAGGAGACGATGGAGGAGGAGAGACTGACTGGTTATGTGGTCCAACAGGGTGAATGAGGATGAAGAGAGATAGCTTCTCACGGTCAGGGTTAGAAAGGGTTTGAGCAGAGAAAGCAAGAAAAACCCATTTCTTCTGGTTTGGGCGAGCCCAGAACAACAGTATATATACCATAAAATTAGAGCAAACTTGTTCAGGGTTGATAATAGGAAGCATTTCTTCACACACAGCGTACTGAAAAGTTCAAACAACTTTCTCTCATTGGCCAGCGTTGGATTAAATGGCCGAGCAGGATCAACAGGCCAATCCTCATAGAATGCCTACAGTGTGGAAGCAGGCCACTCGGTCCATTGAGTTCACATCATCCCTCCAAAGAGCATCCTATCCTGACCCACCATCCCCCACCCTGTTGCTGTAACCCTGCATTTCCCATGGCTAATCCATAAATCCCTGGATCATCTGGGAAATTTAGCATGGCCAATCCACCTAGCCTGCACATCTTTGGGCTATGGGAGGAAACCGGAGCACCCGGAGGAAACCCATGCAGACACAGGGAGAACGTGCAAACTCCACACAGACAGTCGCCCGAGGGTGGAATCGAAGCCGGGTCCCTGGCACCATGAGGGAGCAGTGCTAACCACTGAGCCACTGTGTCACCCACATCCTGTTACAAAGTTCATACGTTACCCCAGAAAGCTGTTGACGTTGGTTTTAGGAACCAACCCAAAAGGCATTCCACAGCCCATTGACCTCTCCTCGGTTCAAGCTACTCTCCAAAGTGTAACTTCCATGGAGATCTATTCTTAAACAAAAACCAAGTGATTTTCTCTAATTTTCTTTAAGATTTTGCAACTATGGATGTCTCAGCTTTTTGTTACGGTTGTCAGCAGATACCCAATTTACTTCACGTAGCTGCCACGTGAGAAAAATCAGCCTTCACCAGCTGTGACTTTGTTTGTGACTGTTTTCTGCCACAAGGTTCTGTGAGGACCTCTGTGAAATTCTTCTTTTAGGAAGAAACTAGGCAAAATTTTTCAGCTGCATTTCCCTATTGAACCCAAACTGACTGTATGCCCTCACTGCACTGTGTATGGGGAGTGATAAAGTTAGTCCGTTCTCCACACAAAGGTCGGGCCTCACGAAAAATCAGCCTCTATTGGCTTTCATTCCAGTAATACACAGTCTACGCGGAGGTAAAATTGAAATTGCCTGTTCCTGAGTAAAGCAGCCAACTAATGTAAACAGGCAGCATGGTGGCTCAGCAGTTAGCACTGCTGCCTCACGGCACCAGGGACCTGGGTTCGATTCCAGCCTCAGGTGACTGTCTGTGTGGAGTTTGCACATTCTCCCTGTGTCTGTGTGGGTTTCCTCCCACAGTCCAAAGATGTGCACTTTGGGTGGATTGCCCATAGTGTCTAAGGATACCTAGATTAGGAGGATTAGCCATGATTAATGCAGGGTTACAGGGATGGGGTGAGTCTGGGTGGGACACCTATCTTCTCTTCTATCCGCCTCTCCCTATTTATTTCAGAACCCCCTTCCCCTCCCCCATTTCTGATGAAGGGTCGAGGCCCGAAACATCAGCCTTCCTGCTCCTATGATGCTGCTTGGCCTGCTGTGTTCATCCAGCTCTGCACCTTGTTGTCTTGGATTCTCCAGCATCTGCAGTTCCTACTATCTCTGATCTTCAGAGGGTTGGCGTTAGGCCGAATGGCCTGCTTCCACACTGTAGGGATTCTATGATCTAAAGGACACATTGACCACATCTCTCCTTCCTCCCCTCGCCAACTCTTCCTACTTACTACCCACTCCCAGCTGAAGTTAAACTCACCCTGGTGAAAACCCCCATTCGTTGACAGCACCAGCGAATGTTGAAGGCAGCTCCTGGTTTTTGACTGGGTGCATTTGGTTCATTTTGTGCTACAATCGGAAGTGAAAACAACCTGGCCTGACAACTCCATTATAACAAGCCAATGGGAGAGGGTGCATTTGAACTTCCCCAACATATTAATTGTGTAAAAGTCATGCCCCGTGTTTTTAACTAGCCTCAGAATCTCCAGTTTTACATATATCTTGTGTCAGTTTACTTAAATTAAAATAATCTTGACGGGAATTTGATATGAAGGTGTTAACCCTCGATGTCAATAACATTTTACTCCAAACTAAGGAACTTTCATTTCTTTGGAAATTAAACACAAACATTTACCTGTTCAAAGAACTGTGAGCTCTGCGATGATTCGAGGTCTGTGCTTTCACTGAGATCATCCTGAGAGATAAAAGGTTCAGTTTAGTTACATGAAGGACATTGCATTAAGCATTCCTCATCAGTGTTAAGCCCAACTTAACAATCAAGGTGTTCATAAGAAAAAAAAACAGAAATTTCTGGAAAAGCTCAGGAGGAATGGCAGCATCTGTGGAGAGAAATCAGAATTAACATTCCTGATTTCTCTCCAAAGATGCTGCCAGACCTGGCTGAGCTTTTCTAGCAATTTCTGATTTACAGCGTCCGTAGTTCTTTCTGTTTTTGTTGAGATGACAATACGTATTGAGAGATGATAATGGTTTATTGATTTAAAAAGCATACTACATAGACTTGAGATGTAATGCATTTTTTTTTATTGGAGTAAACATCCTTCTAACTAACTACATTAGTTCAGAGTTCCATCGAACCCAGTACTTCATTTTATAAGAATGTAGTTTGCATAGAATACCACTACTATTAATAGAGTTGATTTCCTACTACCTGCAGCTCAGTAAAAATGACAAATCCAAATAATATCTAAGAGATAAATTGCAAGTGGCACTGATTGTTATATCAAGATGGTATTGTGCATTGTACTCGCTAGTGAACATGTCACTGCCATTCAGTGCCATTTGTAATCGTGTCAGTAGGCAGTCAGTTTACAGGAAAACACAGTGCTACAGCGCACTGCCCCAAAGATCCCTGGCTTCACCTTATGGAGGAGCAGGGCTCCCAAAGCTTGTGTTTTCAAATAAACCCATTGGACTATAACCTGGTGTCGCGTGACTCCTGACAAAGATGCCAGCAGCAGGTGCCCACTGTGTGTAGCTATCCCACTGTCACAGTGGGACATTTCTGTACCAACCTCACACTCTGCCACAAATCACTCTTATACGCCCATCTTCCGGCTGCCCTCCAGTTTGCCTTCAAGAAGATCTCTGTGGGTTTTTAGCCTCTGATCAGCTGGAATATTGACAGTTTATTCGCCTCTCTAAAGCAAAGAAGTTATTGCCACCCTGCATTCCAACAACGTGAATGTTTAGTGCAGTGGGCTGTCACCAGGCCATGCAAACTCAGCGCAATTCAATCAATAAAACTGCAATAAAAGAAGAACATGTGGAGACAAGACCAGACCATTCAGCCTCTGGTACCTGTTCTGTTCTATCAATCACTTAATCCATGCCTGAGCACCGTTCACCTGACATTGCTCTGTATCCCTCAAACCACTGCCTCTGAAAAATCCCTCCACCTCAGTCTTCATCAACGCACAGAATCCAAAGCCTTTTGGCAGGGAAAGAGACTTCCACATTTCCACCAGTATACACAGGACGAATCACTCCCCAGTTTCTCTCCTGAATCACCTAACTTCAGTTTTAAAATCATTACACTGCCTCATTCTGGATTTCCCAGGCTGATGGAGAGAGATTTGCATTTATAAAGCACTTTCTACCATCACCAGCTATCTCGAAGACCTTTCGCACCAACTGTACTGCTGTAATGAGGGAAACGCGGCAGCCAATTTGCATGCAGCAAGCTCTCCAACGTGATAAAGGCCAGATAGTCAGTTTCTTCTTTGAAATGTCAATTGAGGAATCAATACTGGGCAGAACTCTGGGGTAATGTCCATCCTCTTCTTAAAAATAGTGTAAAAATCTTGTCATAAAACTAAAAAGATTCAGCCCTTCTTCCCAGCAATATCCTTCACTGACACTCAATCCCGGTGAAGTGTCACTCCCACCTTCACTCTTTAATTTCTTTCTAAGGTCACAAGAACTTCCTGTCAGTGAACGGCGCATATTCACCAGATAAAGACTCTTGGTATTTCTCCCCAGTACTCTCAGACACAGGTTAACCTCAATGAGATTTTCTCACTGAACTCCAGGGAAAAATTAACATGGCTTTTGTCCAGTTACTTTGAGATTCCTAAACAGATGGAATAGGTTGTTTCCTTCAAGCCGAAATTGATTCTAGCCTCTCTCCCTGTCTCCCTCTGGGTCATAAAAGCTCAACTTAGTAAACTCTTCAGCAATTCTCTCTCTTGGCTGTTTGTCACTCATTCTCATGTCTACTCATACTCAATTACTAGGGGTCACGATTTCAAGGTGAGAGGGGAAAAGTTTAAGGGAGATACGCGTGGAAAGTTCTTTACATAGCGGGTGATGGGTGCCTGGAACACGTTGCCAGCAGAGGTGGTAGAGGCGGGCACGATAGTGTCATTTAAGATGTATCTAGACAGATACATGACTGGACAGGGAGCAGAGGGATACAGATCCTTGGAAAATAGGTGACAGGTTTAGATAGAGGATCTGGATCGGCGCAGGCTTGGAGGGCCAAAGGGCCTGTTCCTGTGCTGTAATTTTCTTTGTTCTTTGTTCATTCAGCTCAAGTCATATGATGTTTCAATTCACTGCTGCTTTAAAAAAATCCTTTTAAGAGAAATGTCACCTTCAGAGAACAAAAAAACCATTTACTTCTCACGTCTATCCGCCATCTTCAATGTTCAATTCTTCTCCCAATAATGATTAGTGGTAGAAATGTGTACCATCTAAAAGATGCATTGTAGTAAATCACCTAAGCATTTTCAACAGTATCTTCCAAATCCACAAATTCCATCACCAAGAAAGGGCAGCACGGTGGCTCAGTGGTTAACACTGCTGCCTCACAGCACTAGGGATCTGGGTTTGATTCCAGCCTCAGGCAACTGTCTGTGTGGAGTTTGCACATTCTCCCCGTGTCTGCGTGGATTTCCTCTGGGTGCTCCGGTTTCCTCCCACAGTCCAAAGACGTGCAGGTTAGGGTGGATTGGCCATGGGAAATTGTCTATAGTGTCCAGTGATGTGCAGGCTAGGTGGGTTAGCCATGGAAAATGTGGGTTTACGGGGATACAGAAGGGGGCTGAGTCTGGGTGGGATGCTCTTTGGAGGTTTGGTGTGGACTCCATGGGCCAAATGGCCTGCTTCCACACTGTAGGGATTCTATGATTCTACTTTAAAGCACAGGGTTCTACAATGGTACACATATTATACTTGGAGAAGCATTGCTTTGGAAGCGTGGAAACTCACACTCACTCACCAAAACCGGACCCCACCCCAACTCCATTGAATGGGATCCTTGGAATAGGCTTTGAGGGATCATGCCCAGTGAGTAAAATGACAGAACGATCCTTTCTGGGAGAACAGGGACAGCTGGTCAGCCTGTTTAATGCTCAACTTTTGCCAGGTTGCGCTGGAGACTTTGTGCCATGTTTGATGGTAATCTTTCACTCAATGGAGTATAAATAATCTCTCTTATACTGTGCATGATCTTTGTAGCCTTAGAAAAGTCTACTGTTACGATTCCAGCTGATGTTAATACTGGAAAAGTCAGATCCCAGAAGAAAACCAGGATGGGTAGATCCTAACACTGTTTATTTTTAAACATATAAACCGTGGTGGTCTGTCTCTGAACATATTCACAAGAGTTAACTAGTGTACTTTTAACACAAGGAATAAAGTGTTTATTAAAGATAAAAACAAGCTCTATAAAACTGGACAAAAAGTCAGCATGTGTCAGAAAAGGATTCAAACTCCCCTTTTATCCCAGTGACTGGAATTATTGACTACAAGATCCTTGATTGGGGTTGTTAAACTGGGCTAATCAGGAAGCCTTGGCTGATTAATATTAACAGGGGATTTTGAATCTCCTCAGTTCAGGGCCCTGACTCTGAGTTGGCTGGTTACAGCCAGTATACTGTGTACATGTAAATAAAGGGTGACTCAGTGATGGGATATTGGTCTTTGTACAGTTATTTCACCAGCAATATCCTTAAGAGCACCCGAACCTCAGGAAAGAGTTACCATTATCGCCACACTTCTTGCTTAAGCTAGGACAACTTAAGGTAATTTTCTGTGAAGCTTAAAGCACTACCCAGCACAGAGGTATCTCAAAACATCTTTGAACAGACTCATTAAAAATTCATTTGATACTTCTTTTTCTTCAGCTGGTATTGCTTTCTGAGACACCGAAAACAAACTGCAAACTAAACTCGCTATTACTGTAACGTAGGAGTAAAAAAATGAGTCTCTTAAACTCAGCCTCCAGCAGTTTATTCCAGATTTCTTATGAGAGAGTTTAATACTTCAGCCTCCACCCACAAAGACTGACTTCTTTCTGGAAGTTTTTTTATGTGTGGCCGTTGTCCCTTGCCACTAAGCAACAGTGGCTTTTCTTGCCTTTTCCACATAAAACCTTATTAAAATGCAAGTAAACAAACAGACCTCTAGACTCCACACAAGGCCACAATTCTCCAATCTGACACTAACCATGGTTTTCCAATTCTTAACATACGAAATATATTTTAAACTTAAAAGTTATATAATGTTCTCAACACTCTAATTTTAATACTTTCAGCCACATTAGGTTCTGCTCTCTGAAATTCCCTTCTTAAACCCCTCCATGGCCTGTCCTCCTTGTTGACAGTCCTTAAAAATTGTTTACTTTAAATCAAGAATTTGGTCACGTCTCATTGGAACATAAATCAGCCAGTAAAGATTTCAGTTGTGATGATCAAAGATCCATTGGGAGAGAACATTCTAGATTTCTCCTGTCATCTCACTATCCAGAAGCCTGGCTCCAATATTATTTGCTTTCTGCTTTGTTGCACATTTTCCGTCTTCCATTGTGGAACACTCTGGGTCATCTCTTGGAGTAAACTAGAACAGATCTGGAGAGAAGAAACCCACACTTTACGATTTATTGTTCTCTCTGCTGGTTGAGAGTCACAGAGGTCTAGTAGCGCAGTGGGGAGTGCACCTGCCTTTGAGCAGAAGTTCCAGGTTCGAGTCCCGCTCCTATGCTTTATGGCCACAGAAACAGCATTAACGACAGAGACCAAAAGCTTCATTATCAAGAGCCCGGTCAGCCATGTTTGATGAGCAGCGGTGTCCCTCAACCTATTGGCTTTAGCTTCAAGCTATTGAACTGCTCCAGTGAAAACAAACCACAGGAACAAATTTAATAATAGGTGTAGCTCCAGATATGGCAAG